CAGGGCTTGACAGTACTTCTGTCTTTAATTAAATTTTTGCCCAGATACTTTAATGTAATTTAAATAGATTATTAGTTGTCAGGACCTAATATAAATTTTGTTTATGATTTCGTTACTTTAAGTACTCGGATTGAAGAAACTAATTTAACCCCACAACTGAGCAGCTTTAAACACGAAGACCAAACAACTAAAAAGCTCCCAGCCATGCCCACTCTCTTAATAATCTTGAATTATCGCAAGTTGACTGTACATTTCATGACAAGAAAATGAGCACCCTTGTCCCCTTTGAACACAACAGCTTGGAGATGCTCATTAAGGTCAGGCCACTTACACCTGTTCAGTTATGGGGTTCTTCCTCTCAACAGTTTCCTCTCTCAGGGGCTACCCAGGTAGGAAACATTTTTTCTCCTATAAAACCGTGACCAAACAAACACCTGTTGTGCCCAACAGGAAGGACATTAAAAACAGACATCAGGAGACTAGCAAAAAGAAAAACAAGCTTGCAAAAGCACCCCCTAGCCAACCTGCTCAAGAGATTTCACGACTGGGCAAAACAAAGAGTACAGGAGATAAAAAGACACAGTTTTTGGCACAACGTTCTCATGAATGGAAGATGCCTTCTAAATAAGGCTTAAAAACTGTCTTTGCAGAAACTGGCTAACATGTTAATTTATTAAGGGAACAAAGCCTGTGTCTAGCTGTGTTTCCCAATAGCCATGCACCCCCCACACACACACACTCACACACACACACACACACACACACACACACATTTCCTCTCTACAAAACTGAAGCCTTTAGTGCAAGCATATTATCTATGGGATGCAAAACCACTGCACTTCTTGAAATCAAATGTTTCTCACATTTATTTGTAGGTTGGCGACACAAGCTAAATCGGCCTAATTCCCATTAAGCACATGGTCACATGCACAGCGAAATAAACTAGAAAGGCCTTGTGTGGTGGGGAAGACCAGCCAGACCTATGACATCCCAAGCATGAACAGGTCTGCCCCATTTCAGGAACCTGTGCCAGCCGAGCTCTTCGCACCTCTAACTTTAATTTGTGCAAGTACCAGACAAGACAGATAGTTCTAAACATCAGTTTAAGACAGCTCTAAGAATGGCATACATATAACTAAACAGCCTACAGATTCAGGTAACGAGTCATCGGAAAGATCATTTAGAAAATTCATAGGCCAAAGTGCAACCTTATTTGGCTTGCTGGCTGGTTTCACAAGCTCAATGTTTGATCACCTGGTGGGATTTACTACCATCAACTTAAAAAAATTCCCTGCAAATACTAAAAAGGTAAACAGCCTTGTGCATGTAGTTCACCTGCCTATTTAGCAGACACTGTCCTTGGGATTATTTTCTTTAGAAAACAAACCTCTACCTGCCTGGGGCTTTTGAAAGACTCTATACTTAAAAACATACTTTTTAAAAAAAGCCAATACTGCTGGCTTAGCAGAAAAAAATGGCATCTAGTAAAACTGAAAACTATAAAAGGAGTATAACATCTAACAGGATAAGTAAGAAAAAAACCCAGAGCAAAAATTATTAGAAAAAAATACCACCTGTGCAAATCAAGCTATGCTCTGAAAACCCTTTCTGTGTCCTAGAAAAACAGCTCATACTCAGTGCCTTGAAGTTGCAATTAAATTGAAGTAATTTAAGATTATCAAGAGAGCAAAGGGCAGTGGGAGCTCTTTGGAGGGTTTTCCTCCCCACTTAATGCTCTTCAGTGAGGGGTTAAATGAGTTTCTTTAATGTAAGTACCTTAAAGTAACTGAATCATAAACAAAATTTATACTATTTTCTGACAGCCTGCAATCTATTTAAATTTTATTAATGTGTGTCTAAAATTATTTGTAAAAGATAAAACTCTTGCTAGGTCCTGTAAATAGTCCTGGCATATCCACTGAACACTGAGCAGCCCGGTAACACATACCCAGCCTTGTCTGAACACCCATACTTTTGTGATGCAGATACTAGCATGACAGTGTTTCAAAACTGAGCTTGAATCTTAAGTAAAACGTGAAAACCAAATATACACAGTAAGATGAGCGGCAAAGAGGAAGCTAGGTTCAAAAGAAGTTGTCACATCTGCTACACTGTCCCTTCTCTTTCTTAATTTTGGCATCAGACATGCTGGTGGTATAAATATATTTATTTGGGAAATATCCTGATTCTTCTGTTAATTTAAACAACCACTGAAAACACAGTATCCTCCAATAGACCCTAAGAATGTAAATGTACTAAGTCAGGAGTCTCCTCTCAAGAGATCCAAAGAAAAACTTAGTAACAGAAAAAAGCAGGCATATGCTCAATATTAGCTCAGTTAACTTTTGCTATTGTTGGTACAAATGATTTAACTAGAAAATATTTATAGCTTTTTAAAAACATTACATGTTGCAGAAAATTGCCTAATAGCATCCATGTGTATGTTTAACTTACACTGCTTAATTATACAATAAAGGTATATCCAATAAAAGCTACAGACTCTGAAACATATGCACCCTGGTTATGACACTCTGGCTTATAAAAAAACAAAGTGCTTACTAGGTGATCAACACTTGTTAATTAAAAATACAAGCTTTAAATGACAATTATTTTTATTCTTCTGTACGTGTTTACTTGTCCTATTTCCTACTTTGTTCTACTTAATTCAAAATGACATTTAATTTGAGGATAGTTTATAGCTGGGGAAAAGTGTGTGACACAGTTTATACTCCAGCATTTAAATATAAATACATAATCTAACATATCTCCAGCAATATAAACCCCTTAACTTGGAACAGTCAATTTGAATAGTTGATTTCTTTCATTCTACTTTGATAGACCTGTGAAAACAAAATGCTCAAATAATTACTGTTACTACTTTCCTTAAAAATGTAAAGCAGTTACATTTTCCCAAACAACAAGCAAGGACAAGTTACAAAGAACTTGAATAAAAGTAGCAAGGCGGTCATGTTGAATGTCAATCTAAAAAAAGCGGTTATGTCTAATCTGGAGAACCTCTCTCTTGGCTGTTTAAATTCCAAGAGTGGGCTAACACAAAAGTTCATCAGCAGGGATTTGTTTTTTCTTTCTTTTCCTTTATCTTTTCTTTCTTTCTTTTTCTAAGCTTCACATCAGATTTAAACCCTCACATGCAAAAACCCTGGCTTCCCTGACAAGGCAGCTATCTTCTAAGCTTGATGTGAGAAATCGTTATCTAACTCTAGTGTAGGAGTCTAATGTTGGTTTAAAAAAAAAAAAAAAAAGAAAAGAATTTCACTTCCAACTGTACCGGGTAGCAAGACAGCCTCTGGACGACTTAATAATCTTTGAATACCTTTTTGGGTGCATTCTTCTTATGGAGAAGGATGCATTTAAAAAAAAATTTGTTTAACAACTTGGCATCCACAAGGAACTCAAATGCAGCCCGCAGAGGGGCTGGGTGCTTCCTTCCAAGAGAGCCTTCCTTGCACAACAAAGATCAGCATTTGCAATGGTCCATTTCTGCATAAGTGAACATACAGCCTTGCTGCTTGATCGAGTAGCCCAGGGTTCTCCATGTAGCAGCTCCTGACAACCCAGCAGCAGCTCTGTTTGATCTCTCCTGCTTCCTTAATTTGGGTTGTCAAGGTTCAGCAGTTGGAGGCTGTTTACTTTACTTTAAAAAAAAAAAAAAAAAAAAGTGATTTTTTTTTCCTCTCTCCCATACAATGACTAAGGGGGGAGGCTGCAGCGAGTGGCAAGATGTTAAACCTTTTTTCCCTTTGCACTGAGATTTCAGCTGACATCTTCTGAAGGGAAACTAGTTGCGTTCCTTTTTTTTAATTTTTAATGATCTTTAATTATGAGCCCTTTCAAACAGACAGGGGAAATTTTTCAATTTCCTGAAAATATGAACCCCGTTTTCTTTTTGTGGACTCAAAATGAAAGGTATTTCTACTTTAAGAATCAAAACTCCAGTGGAATTCTACAACAGATTTGCTACATTTCACAAAAATGCAGAAATGAGCAGGAACTCCTCTGTTTGAATTATGCAGGCATCTCAGGGGTACCGAACACCTGAAGTCTCACTATTTATCTTCAATTTCTAGTTAAGACATCTTCCCATTAGATCCTCTCTGTGGTACAGGGGGTGAGGGTGGGTTGTAAAAATTATTTGCAGATTCTTTAATATTTTCAGTATGTAAGAAAAATTCCTTAAATGTCCCCGAGGTTTCCCCCACTCCGCCATTGTGCAAGTCCTAAATCCTCAGGGCTACGGACGCGGAAGGTGCTGAGTAGATGGTTTCAGTGTGAGACTTTTTTCAGAGGGAATCCAGAGTGCTCCCGCAGCATTCTTATTTGAAGAGCAGTAACAACCAAAGAATCCTAACTTACAAAATACCTGCGAGGAGAGAGCAAGCCAGCCCCAGCCCCGCAGAAGTGGGCTGGAGAAGTTCCAACTCTACCAAATGAAATGTTTATATTAATTTCATTAGTCCGCTCAAGCCTCACAAATGAGGGTTTGGGGGTGGGGAGGAAGGAAAGAGGAAGAAATAAGTTTCATTTTGGGTCTACTGGTTGAGCAAAAAGAAAATGAATTAAGACGAAAGCGTAGGATGAGTCCGGACTAAATCAATACACTTCGTAATCTGCCAAGCAAGGGTATTTGGACCCAATGACTTGGAAATAATTGATAGTTATAAGGGGGAGAGGGGTGAGGAGAGCGAGGGATGTCACCGTATTTTATCGAAATACTTTACACTCCACTCTAAACTTTGATCTCCAAATTTTCGGATTTAGGAAAGAAAAAGGAGGAAAGTCCTATATTTCGAAGCACCTACCGGCTCGAGGATGGGCACATTCCTGGCTCCAGGCGCTTGCTTGATCGCCACGCTCGCGCCGCCCAGGCTGGCTCTTTGGGCACGGAAAAGCCCCGGTGCAGCCCGGGTCTCTCGGGTGTCCCTGGCCCCCGCGCCCCCGCCCGTGTCCTTGCCCTGGCGGCGGCGGCCGCCTCGACTTACCCACGGAGTCCGGTGAGGGAGTGGGAGCGCCGCCTTCACGCCAGCGGAGGAGGCGCCCGCGGCACCATGGTCCCCGGAGCCGCGGCCGCTGCCCCCGGCCCGCTCGCTCGCCGCACGCTCTCTTCCTCTTGCAAACTTTCGGGTTCTGCGGTCGACGAGAAATCGGGGCGCCCTTCAGCAAGTCTTGCTTGTGCAGGTTGGGGGAATCAAAGGGGATGGGACGCGTAAGCGGGCGGCGGGCTCGGAGGACCCCGAGTGCGCGCGGATGAAGAGAGGATGCGGCTCAGGGAATCCCTGAAAGGATCCCGAGTCCGGGAAATCGGCCCGAGCCAAAGTCTCGGCACCTTCCCGGAGATCTTACAAAGTTGCAACAACAAAAAAGAAGGGGGGAGGGATTGGGGAAAAGGGGTGGGATAGGGATACGATCGAAGGCGCAAGGTTGAAGTAACAACTGTTTATTTAGTCACTCTCAGAGAGGGCGGGAGCTGCGTGGGAATGGGGGGGCTGCAGGCAGCGTTTCGGAGCAAACTCTTGGGAGGGGGGCATGCGACTTTGTTTCTGGGCGAGGAGCTCCCAGGCGCCCGTGTGTATCACTGCCAGTCTCCGGGGACCGAGGAGGAGCTCACAACAGGTGGGGAGGGGGGCTATCGGAGGTCCTAAAGGAGAAGAAATCGAAGTTTGCCAGCGAGGCAGAGACTGGGGAGGAGGGGGCGGGAGGCGGGGGCGAGGGGAGGCGGAGGCAACAAATGACCGCGACCCCGCGGCAGTTGGCGAACTCCTCGGCTCCAGTGGCGGCCGCCGCCGCCGCCGCCGCTGTCCCCACCCCGAGCGCACGCCGCCGCGGCTCGTCGGCTCCGGGGATTTGTCTGTGCCGGACGGGAACTGTGCGCCCGGAGCTCGGGAAGAAGGCTGCGCGCAGGAGAGGAACGCAGAGCCATCGGCTGCCGGGATGGGGCCCGGGGGACGCGGCGACACACGCGTGGTGCGGGGCAGTTCAGAGCTTTGGAAGTTCACCCGCTCGCTAAGCTCAAAACGGGGGTGGAGGGCCAGAAAGTACAGTGTGCACGGTGAGGGGAGGAGGATCTCGGCGCACCCGGTTCCTATGCCCACCGGCGGATCTGGACACGGGCGCATCTCAGGGAAGCGGGGGCTGAGCGCGCGTGGGGGTGCGTCTGGCAGAGGGTGCGCGGGTGTCTTAGCTTTCCCAGGTCCAGGGGGTTTACAGTGCGAGAGCGTCCCCACCGCCGGGCTACACCTAAGCGCGCATGGCTCCAGGGTCGTCCCCGAGCGCCGGGCGCAGGCGTCCCTAGTCCGTCCATTGGGGCCTGCGGGGCAATTCAGGGGCACACACCCGTGGAAGGGCAAGGGAAAAAGTTTGTTCCAAGTCCAAACTTTGAGTACAGGGGGCGCCCGCCTCACACCCCTTCCCGCCGCGGCCCCAACCCAGGGCCCCCAGCACCCTGGCGGCCACCGGACGCCGACGCTGGGCACTGAAAGTTGCAACTGGAGGCCTGGGCTTATTGATTTCTCTACCCCGGGCGATTGCGGGAAGCGCAGAGAAAGAGAGGCGTGAGGAAGCCAAAGGGAAAGCGACCTCGGCTTTCCCACTCTCCGCTGCTGCCCCCCCCCCATTGGATTTATGCAAATAGACCCAAGAGTACAAGCGCCCGGGGCTCCCTCCACCCTCCCGCCAGCTCGTAGCGCCTACCCACCCCAGAGCTGGGCCCAGACCGAGGGGAGAGAGGAGGAAGGGGAGCTGGGGGAGATGCACGTGGAGCCTGAAGGTAGAAAGTTTTTTTTTTCTTTCTTTTTTTCCTGTTTTTCTTCTTTTTTTTTTCTTTTTTTTTTTCTTTTTTTCTTTTTCTTTTTTTTTGTGCTGGTTGTTGTTGTTGTTTAAAGTGGCAGAAACAAGGCAGGAGGCGGCTTGGGAAAAGTGGAGCAGAAATGGAAAAATACAAACTCACCCGCTGCAAATGGTCTCTCGGTGCAAACTAAGGTGTTTTCGGGCCTTTCCCCGCGCGCGCCCACACCCGCCCGCGCGCGCACCCCGCGCACACACTCTCGCACACACTCACTCGCGCACACACGCGCGCACACACGCACTCCCAGGCGAGGGCCGGGCCGCCGCGAGTACAGCATGTAACCGCCACACAATAAATAACAATAGATTCCTCCGCTCCGGACTAGCTTCCCGGAGCCCCGCCAGCTGCGGCGACAGAGGCGCGGGGAGCGCAGGCCGGGAGCCCCCAGTCCAACCAGGTCTCCCGCCCAGGCCTTGCTTCCACCCGGCGCTTTCCGCGAGGTCCCCCCCAAATCCCCTAGAACGCGAGCCGCGCCCCCTTCCCAGGCCCCTGGTGCTCCGGAGGCCGCCCCCCCTCCTCTACTTCGCATCCCGGAACAAATAAATAAATAAGGCGCGCGAGAGAGGCCAACACGTCGCGGAGGGAGATGTTGTTATTTTTTGCTGTTGTGCGTCCCTGACGTCACATCCACCTGCTGGGTAAACAACAAGGCTCCAGGAAAAAAAAAAAAGGAAAGAAAGAAAGAAGAAATTGCCAAGCAAAGGGAGGGGGAGTAGATTGTGGAGGGGAGGGGGGTCCAGCGTCCAGGCTAGTTAGGGAAGAGAGACATAAGCCCCGAAGACCAAAAAGAAAGGAAAGGAATGCCAGAATAGTCCCTAGCAAAAGAGGCATCTGGCTGGAAAGACCTTGAAAATAAGGGAGTGGGGAAGGGAGATATTCCTCAGAAGATGGGGAGTGGGGCATTGAAAGGCCGGGAAAAAGAAGGGGAGAGTGCTATCTACTGGGGTTCAAGACTGGGAATGCGGTGGTTATTTGCTTGGTTTCTATGCTGAAAATACAGAAGGAAGAGGAGAGGATAGGCGAGGATGTGAGTTTCCTCCGGTTAAAAGTGAAAGTGTTCTGCCATCAGTGACTTGCAGCAGAGGGAGGGAGGGTGGTGTGTTCAGCCCCCCCCCCCCACCTCCCTGCGTCTCTCCCCGCTCTTTCTGCACTTTGTCCAATGAAAGAAGGGGAGTGGGGGTGAAAGTTCAGCAGAAGGACAAGCCATGTTTGCAGGGAAACAGAAAACCCGCCAGCTGAGGGGTTTTTCCCCTGGATCTAGGAATCAGGAGAGTGTAACTCAGATGGGGCCCCCCACACACCACCCTTCCTAGTCGGCATCTCTGCAGGAATGTGTAGTTGGATCCTCTTGTGGGGTGGGGGGAGTGGCTGCTTAAGGAACTGTGAGCCTGCCTGGGCTCCCAGGAAAACACCCGGGGCTAGCATGTCAATCAGTTGTTAAACATAAATTCCCTGTTCTCCCACGGATCAGTCACATGCAGAAAGCTTCTCCACTTCTTTGAAAAGGTGAGGTGTATTTTTTGTGTGTTTTTGGTTTTGTTTTTTTCTTTTTGCTGTTTTGAAGTTTTGTGGAATTCGGAAATTTGGAGTAAATGAGAAGCTCAAATGAAATGTTTTGAAATAAAGATATATATGGAATCTAAGGATATATATTATTTCTTATCAACATGAAGCTGACAAAAGCTGATTTCACATTTCCAAAGGTGACTTAAATCCAGCACCTCGATGGTTTGTTGTAATTTTGATCAGATTCCCCACTCCAGATGCTGCTAAACTCCAGGGCAGCATTCAGCTCTTGGCTGAACTGCACTAGGCCAGAGCATTACAGAAATGTATTTTAAGCCACCCATATGGATTCTTACAGAATCCTTCCCCTGGGGTGGACAGAGAGGAAGCTTACTGTCCCTTTGGTTTTGAGACTAGCCCAGTTGTAGATAATATAGCTCGTTATACAGTGTTTTTTTACAAATAGTAAACACTCATTTACAGAATTTAAATTTCAATTCCAATGACAGCATAAGAATATCACTTTAAAATTGTCTTTGCAAATAAAATAAAATTAAGCTACCGTTCACTGGCACTCTTGGAGAATAAAGCCAGAGAAAGGGAGACTGAGCTCAGCCTAGTACAATCTATGTTGAATACACGCTGCGCTGCCTCTGAGTGATGCAGGCAAGACCATCCACGCGATTTTCTAGATCAAAACTACACATATAAAATGCATTTTAGTGTGTCTCCTAGGGGCTAGGGCTCATGTTGTCCTTGTCAGGACATAAACACATGTTCAATGTTCTAGACCATATAGTGGACGCTTAAAGACGCACAAATAAATAAAGTTCCTGCCCTTGGGGCGCTCATAGTCCACAGCCTTTAGTAATGACAGCTAGGATTACTGAATGCTTCCTGTGACCTAGGCACTGATATAAAACCTTTATGTTAGCTCAATTAATACTCTCAACAATGCTTTGACATCAGTGGGAACTCCATATTCTAAATTCCCATGGAATTACATGGATATCTACAAAGTAGCCAGTCTGTTGGGAAAAAAAATTTGGTTTTAACTTTTATAATGTTCTGCTAATATAACTTGTTTATTGTATATGCCTGGTCATAGAATTTTTATTCAAAGAAATTGTAATTTATTTAAATACAACAAATTATTCATAGTCTATAAAGAACAATTCATACTCTGATCTTGTTCTTTGTACTGAGCTGTTATTTTTTTTTTAATCATTATTATTGCCATGCTGGAAAAGATTTGTAGAATGCTGCTGATCCTAGTTTGCATTTTAGCTGCCTTAAATTCTGCATTCACTTGAAAGTGGAGGCTAAAGTCAGGTTGGCAACAACTTTTGCAGACAAAAGGAAATTCTGGTTGTAAATTCATGATGTATGATACTCAGTTCTGTATATAATACTATGTGCCACCTTCTTAGAGAATTCTATCCATTTGGTTCACATTAGAGGGAAACTTAACTGCAGCTTAACATAGTGTTCATTTTCAACACTGTCACGTTACATTCATAAGGAGCAGATTTTAATTTCTTTATCAGTAATCAACTGCAAGTTTCTTTTTGTTAAATTAATGCAAGAAGTATTCTTAAATAAAGGGCATGGGGGTAGGACGCCACCTTTTGGCGATAAAACAAATAGAAATCCCTTTTTAAAACATGTTTCTGACATAATTTTATTTTGAATTACATCAAGGCAAAATTGCCTGTCTTGGTTTTCTCATATTTTAAGTAAGGAGAGGATCATTGTAAATGCACAGTTAGAAAACTACAGTTAACTGAAGCCAGGATTTCCCCTAAGACAGCAGAAGGTGTTAGTGCCTGCCACGTACTATGCCTCAAACTTGAACTTCCTTCTCCGAGTACTGGTCAATGGACATATGCACATGTTGGGAGAAGGAACTGGAGTAGACATTTACCACTTCATGACATGGTTGAGTGCTCTAAGGTTCGAGCTGAAGAGAAACTAAAAGCACCTCAGTGTTTCTTCAGCTGTAGCTGTAGGGTCACCTTCCTGATTTTGCCATACCTCTATAACATAGTAATTCCTGAATATTTAATGCCTGTATAGCGTATTCATTTGAGTGAACTTATTATGGTAATGGTGCTAAATATTTTTATTTACATCAACTTACATTTTGTTTTTCTGCTACTACTATAAATAGAAAGTCCATATTCCCCCTCCATAACTTAAAACAAGCACAGTGAACTGAAAATAAAATCACTGCTTTTTCTTTATAAGAGTAGCAAATGAAAAACAATGGATTAAAGAAAGGGTCTTATGGCAAGCACAGGGACCAGGGTTTGATCCCTGGTCCTGCGTGCCACGCCTGTCCCCACCCCCAGAGCAGGCTGAGCTGACAACTAAGTCCAGGTGAGGTCACACACACCAGCGCTGGAGAGTCTAAAAACAGGAGGAACACTATGAGTCCAAGCTGCATAGTGAGACCCTGTACCAGATACATAAATGAAATAAAACAAGGGGGTCACAGTGTCAGAAAGTTTTTTAAAAATGAGCATCGCAGGAAAAAAATATTCTGCACAACCAGAAGGATCACAAAGAGATGGAAAAGGCGCAGTCCGCGTTATCTCATGCTGTGCTGCTGCCAAGGCGCCCACACTTTGAGAAACAGAACTAAGCACGTCACACTGCAAATAGAGAGGGTGGTGCCAGGGACTGTAGGCTTTCTCCAGGGCTAGAAGATTTATTAAGGGATGAACAAGGGTCAGAATCCACATGCCTTGACATTGTGTCGTGTGTGTGTGTGTGTGTGTTTGTGTGTGTGTAGCTGGCAATCATCAAATGAAAGCCTTTATTTTAAAGAGAGGAAGAAAACAATAAAAACAATACAGACTTTCAAAACAAGATGGTAGGAAATTAACAGTGGTTTTTATATTGCATATTGTTATCTTCAGAGTTGTTGCTCAGATTACCAGATGCGGGCATGCAAAACTGACTGTGTGTATTTTCATCTCACTTTTCCACATCAGACACTAGGTGGCTGGCCTGGCTTCCAAAAAACAACCACCCTCCGCATCCCTTTACAGGTGGTGGAAAAACGAGGCCACAGTGGGTGGAGATCAAGCGGATCCCATCACAGACTCCTCTTTTCCAGATGTGGTAGACACACGTGTGGAGGAAAGAGAGTGCAGGCTGAGGGCAAAGGAGAGGGCTGCTGGCTGAGTATGTTAGGACCACTCTACATGAAAGTTGGGACGCCTCAGTTTCCTTCCAAGATAAAAATCTCCAAAAATCATGCGCCTGGTATAACTGGCAAGAACAGACCATCCCGTGACTTCTGATGTCCCTATGCATCCACACTGGAAATCTGCAGGGGTCTCCTGCTTTACAGGGTATAGTGTTGACAGGTACTGAGACAAGACACATTAGATCAACTGCATGCTTGGAAAATCTACAGTGGTAGTGCTCACCCCATTTTAAATCTGGAGCCAGTAGTGCTGTTTCTAACCAGGGCCATAGAGATTCCATTTCCAACTCTTTTTTTTTTTTTCTTTTTAAGGACACAGGTATATGCATGTAAATAAATGTGACCTGCAATTTTTTTTCATGTTTTCCTAAATCAGTCCTTGTGAAAAGAGATTTCAGTAACTGTACTACATGGCGCTTGGCCCTAAGGCACTGAATGGATCATAATCCTATGAACTGCAATGCACAATAAAGTGTTTGGCCAAATACTTTCACTCCAGAAAGCTGCTCCAACTCTCTCTGCCATGAGCGTTCACAGTACCACATGTTCATACCTTGGAGACATGTAAAGGAGCGATGCACAGCTCAGCCCCATCTGCTACAGGTGCTAGAACCATCTACAGCCTTGCTGTGCAGGAGGGGTGCTCATCTGCAGCTCAGGCACCACCTGAGGGGCAGTAAAAAGGCAG